GTGTGCTGGACCCCAGATGCACAAAAAAGCGGGGCTCAGCCAGCCTCTAAAATTCCAGTGAGTCCCTTCACCGTACAATAGTCATCAGTGGTGCGATATGTCATCTACTCAATGACCTAGACCTCAGATAAGCCAGTCCAGGTCTTAGTGATGGGTTGTAACTCTGCTGGAGACTGTTAATCTAATACATGATCAGAGCTTGACTGAGGACCATAAACCAGGATGCCGAAAGCACTCCTGCTTTGGGCTAATCTCACTTCTGGGAATTCAGTGGGGTGGGAAGATAATCTCACTTCCCACAAAGGAAAGCGTTAGACCAGGTGCAGTGGGCCAAGCCTACCATCCCAGGCACAGTGGGCAAGTCCACCATCCCGATATCCCTTTAGAGCATTTCAAAGCCAACATCAACTACATCATGGATTCCAGGAGAGCCTAGAACATAGCAAAACCAAAAGAGATCAAAACAAAGAGCTAAAAAGAGCCGATTGTAGAATTGTTTAACTAATCTAAACCAATCAAAAGCAGTAAGCTACAGATCAATGAAACAATAAAAAGTACTTAAACAATAAACAAACAGGGATGGACATACACCTCAGAGTGGAAGCTATAAGTTCATTTATGAATGACTAGAACATAAAAATGGATTATTAAAACAATCCATTTTCCAGAGGAAACATAGAAACCTCTTCTATTAAACAGAGAATGAAGGATATAAACTACGGTACAGTGAGATGGCTCATCAGCATGTAAAAGGTGCCTGCTGTACAAACGTGGCGACCTGAGTTCAGTCCCTGTAACCGACATAAAAGGGGAAGGAGAAAACAGAGTCCTACAGACCAGCACCGGCCCGTTTCTAAGAAAGACCGAAGTGTGTGTGGGGCTTTGTTCTGACCTCAACAGGAACCAGGAAATGATATCATCTGACCAGTGCCACTAAGGGAAGCCAGGGACCTAGAGTATTAGGTTTGCAGGCAGAGGCTGCACCGTGCAATCAGTGGCCTCGTGGGTAAGCTATGAAAACCACTGATGAAATAAAAGCATACATGCAGCTACGTTTGGCCCCGAGGTCCAGGATGCCCGGGTGTCACCCCCAACTGGACCCTGTGTGACCGGACAGACCCACATCACCTCCCTACGCTGCAGGCTCCTGAGCAATGGGTAATATCACAGACTTTCTACTGGGGAGGGCTAACCTGAAGTCACAGTCAGTGTTAGCTACTGATAGAAAAGGGAGTGCAGGGCTAACCAATCTCAGACCACTGGTGTGTGACACACCCACAACACAGTCCTCGAAGCTTTTTGTTTTCTCTGTTCGTGATTTTTTTCTTGTTTTGAGACAGGATGCGCTATGTAGCCCTGGTTGTCTTGAAACTCGCTATGTAGACCAGGCTGGCCTCAAATTCACAGATACCTACCTGCCTCTGGCTCCCAAGTGCTGGGACTAAAGTCGTGCGACACCGTACCTCACTGTTTTTGAGCCAGGATCTCTTGCAGCTCAAGCTGGCCACAAACTCTGCTGTGGGATGGTCTGTATGTCAAATGTGTTGCTGATTGGTCAATGAATAAATCACTGATTGGTCAGTGGCCAGGCAGGAAGTATAGGCGGGACTAAGAGAGAGGAGAATTGAGAGAACAGGAAGCTGGGTGGGAGAGACACAGCCAGCCGCCATCAGGACAAGGAAGATGTAAAGTACCGGTAAGCCACAAGCCACGTGGCAAGGTATAGATTAATAGAAATGGATTAATTTAAGCTGTAAGAACAGTTAGCAAGAAGCCTGCCACGGCCATACAGTTTGAAACCAATATAAGTCTCTGTGTTTACTTGGTCGGGTCTGAGCGGTTGTGGGACTGGCGGGTGGCAGAGATTTATCCTGACTGTGGGCCAGGCAGGAAAACTCTAGCTACAAACTCACTGTGGAGCCGAGGAAGATCTTGAGTTCATGATCTCCTTTCCTCCACCCACCAAGTAAGTTCCACCACACTGCCTTTTTTACTTTATTTTTAAAATTTATTTTGTACATGCTATGTGTGGAGATCAGAGGACAACTTGCAGGAGTCAGTTCTCTCCTACATTGTAATCTTGGGGAATCCAACTCAGGTCATCAGGCTTGAAGGCTGAGGTCTTGTCCACACAGCCACCTTGTGCTCTCTCCCTCCCTCTCTCCACACCACACACACACACACACACACACACACACACACACACACACACACACACACACACACACTTTTTGAGGCAGTGTCTTGCTAGGTACTCAGTTCCATCCTCCAACTTGTAATCCTCCTGCCTCAACCTCCCGAATGCTGGCATTAAGGGCCTGTGTAACCACACTGAGCTATGCATTCCTTCTGAAGAATGGTAGCTATGATATAGGAAAGAAGAGATGGCTTCACAGCGCCACATAGGAAAATACCACAAATATGTATTTGTTGACAGACATTCTTTCCAGTGCTTCTCAAGATTTCACAATGTTCTTAAATGTCAGTCTAATTTAGTTGCAGAACGCTTCAACAAATAGAGTGGTATTTGCAGATCCTCCTGACAGAGCATATGACTCCCAGGCCTGGACTGGTGACTGGTGACATTCCTTAAAAACAAAAGGCTGGTTTAGTGGTCAAGAGCACTGGCTGCTCCTGCAGAGGAGCCGGGTTCAGTTCCCGGCACCCACATGGCAGCTTAGTCTGTGACTTCTGTTCCAGGGGATTCAGTACCCTATTCTGACCACTTTGGGTACCAGGTAGGCAAAACACATGAAATAAAATAAATAAGTCTTTTTTGTTTGTTTGTTTGTTTTGAGGCACGGTTTCTCTGTGTAGCCATGGAACTTGCTCTGTAGAACAGGCTGGCCTTGAACTCAAGAGATCACCCTCCTCTGCCTCCCTAGTGCTGGAATTAAAGGGGTGTGTCACCACCATCAGCTTAAAATAAATAAATAAATAAATCTTAAACAAAAACCAAAACTTTTTAAGGAACATGATTTAAAAGATGATATAACAGATTATAAAAAGATAATTAACAATGAGTAAATAAGATAATCCATTTACAAGATAGCAAAGGCATATGAAGGTCCTTATCTGTAAACTTTTAGAACTAAGTTGACATTAACACAACGTGCGGGAGGGAGTGTTTTGTGTGTGTGTGTGTGCGCGCGCGCGCTGCGCGCGCGCGCGCGCGTTCACACATACTGTGGATGGAGAGGCAAGTGTGCAGCACTGAGCCGCACCCCTAGTCCCTCACTGGTGAACTGCAGGAAAGAGGTCTCCACTGCACTGCACTCCCAGCCCTGGGCCACACCTGCTATTTCCCACCTCTTGCTATTCCTCTCTCCCCTGCACTTCCTGTGTGCCTGCCTTCTGCAAGGGCTTCCTTGTCCTGGAGGAGCAGACATTTCCGTGAGGTAGGAGAAGACAGTGGGCAGGGGTTAGTGGGGGGGGGGGGTGCGTGATCAGCACGCACAAGGTCCTGTCACTAGTGCTCCAACTCCCCCCAAATCTAGATACTGTTAGGTGCTACGCAAGAGTGATGTCAGGGACAAGATGGCTCAGAGGGTAAGAGTGTTGGCTGCTCTCGCAGAGGACCATGTTGGGTGGCTGGGCTCACAACAGCCTGTCAACTCCAGTTCTAGGGGATCAGATGCCTTCTTCTGGCCTCAGGGGGCATCTGCACACTCATGGTGTACACACAAACCAACTGACTCCAACTCTGTCTCTCTCTAAAACCACGGCAAAGCTGCCGGACATGGTGGCACATACTTCTAATCCCAAAACTCAAAGGCAGAAGCCGGCAGATGTCCGTGAGGCCAGCTAGTCTACACAGTGAGTTCCAGGACAGCCAGGACTGCATAAAAAGACCTGTCTCAAAAAAACAAAACAAAAACATTGCAAAGGGGGAGGGTGAGAGGCCAGAGGAATTTGGTAATTTTAAGTGAGGCAGATGGCAAAGTCTGCTCTGAGAAGGAGGCATTCCTAAGGAATAGGCCCTGAGGTGTCTGGCAAAGGCTCCCTGAGGGAGAAAAACCTGTACAAGGGCCCTGAGGCCAGAGCACAGTGAAGCCAGCCACACACAGCTGGGGGAGAGGAGTGGGGGAGGGGCACGGCTCTGCTGAACTCCCGGCTCCTGACTCACTCCTAAACAATGGACACTTGCTAAGAAGGCAGAAGCAGTTTCAGCTTGGGCAGTCAGCTCTGTGGGTAGAGGAGGGTCAGTGCAGAGAACACAGCAGAGCCCTAGACAGGAAGAAGAGGGAAACCTTTGGAAAGGTCAAGGCAAGTTCAAAAGCAGGGCAGCAGGCCAAGGCTGCCTCCAGATTCCCTGTGTTTATTTTATCTTTATACTAGGTGGTAAGATTTTGTTCTAAGCCCCGAGGTTCTGTCTCACTGCTTCCTAGCTGTGACATATTTATTTAATGTGTATGAGTATTTTGCCTGCATGTACGTATGTGTACCACATTTGTGCTTTGTACCCAAGGAAGTCAGAAGAAGGTCTTGAACCCCTTAGAATTGGAGTTACAGGTGGCTGTGACACTGAACCTGGGTCCTCTGCAAGAGCAGCCAGTGCTCTTCACCAGTGAACCCTCTCTCCAGCCCGTTTGTTTTTTAAACAGGGTCTCACTTTGTCACCCTGGCTGGTCCAGAACTCACTGTATAGACCAGGTTGGCCTTGAATTCAGAGATCCTCCTGCCTCCTCTACTGCTCAAGTGCTGAGATTAAGGCATGCACCTGTGTGTGTGTGTGTGTGTGTGTGTGTGTGTGTGTGTGTGTGTGTGTCCCTGCTCCCTGAACCCCTGTTTTTTGTTTGTTAATATAGGGTCTCACTATGCAGCCTTGCAGGTCTGGAACTCATTGTGTAGCCCTGGTGGTCACTGAATTCACAGAGAATTTTCCGCCCCAGCTTCCCCAGTGCTAGCAGGTGTGAGCCACCATATCCAACTCCATCTGGCTATCTGATGGGAAAACACCCCTGTCCATATTTGGGGGAAGACACCCCAATATACATTACCGATTTCCTCTCCTGCTTCAGCTCCTGCACATAGCGCATCAGGTCCACCGTGATCTGTGACGTCATGTTCTCAGAGATGACCTCATGCTGGCCGGCATAGTCGTTCATCTCATTCAGGGTGGAAAGAAACGCTTTACATGCTGTGTACCTGGGGACAGAACACACCGGCTCCTTCTCAGACAAGCCCACCTCCATCCTCACATGTTTCACTTGAGGAAATATTAATTAAAGTCAGTCTGCGCTGCACCTGCCTCCCAGAGGATCTTGCTGGTTCATTACACAACGGCTCAGAATTAATTATAACCCAAACATGGCCACAGGTGCTCTGTGAAATGCAGTCTCTGGTTCTGTTCATTCTGAGTCCAGAGATGGTTCCAAACCCACCCACCCATGTTCACTAAATACACCAGGCACCTGGACCTACATCAAAGATGATGCCTCCACCATGCACAATGACCCATCACTGCTGACTGAGACAGGCATAGTTCTTGGATGGATGAAGAATTTGGACTTCTGACTCTACAGAACAGAGCACAGACTCCATGACAAGGTTCTCAACCTGTGGATCACGACCCCTTTGAGGGTCAAATGACCCTTTCACGGGGGCTGCATATCAGATAGCTACATTCTGATTCGCAAGAGTAGCAAAATCACAGTGATGAAGTAGCAACGGAAATACTTTTATGGTTGGGGTCACCACAGTATGAGGACCTGTATTAAAGGGTCGCAGCACTAGGAAGCCTGTTCCAAGGCTTATACCCCACACTGTCTGCACACGCTTGCAGGGCCTCCTAAAACTTTCCCTAATTAGTTTAATGGAAACAGTCCAGAGCGGGTCCCGTGGCTCAGGGCCAGGGAGGTTAAGGAAGCCTTCTCATTGTCGCCCCCAAGTTGAAACAGACCCAGACAGGAAGGCAGGATGGGACTTGTGTGACAGCATGCAGCTTCCTCCCCTCCCTTCACAGCCACCACCGACCACACACACATCTCACCACACATCCACCAGCAACGGACGTACTTGTATTCTTCTTCTTCCTTCGAGTTCTTCTTGGGTTGGTATTTCTTTGAAAGATTCCTAAGACAAAAATGCAGACATGTCACCTTCTTTGGAAGTGCTCAAAGAAATCAGGAATGAAAGATGACGTGTGCGCTTTTCTGGTTTTTAAAATTTTCATAAAGTTGCACAATTAAAACCCATTTGTGCCGGGTGGAGGTGGTGCATGCTTTTAATCCCAGCACTTGGGAGGCAGAGCCAGGCGGATCTCTGTGAGTTCGAGGCCAGCCTGGGCTACCAAGTGAGTTCCAGGACAGGCGCTAAAACTACATGGAGAAACCCTGTCTCGGAAACCCCCCTCCAACACCCCCCCAAAAAAAACATTTGTAGGGCCAGCAGGATGGCTCAGGGGGTAAAGGCAGCTTGCCGCCAAGCCTGGTGACCTGGGTTTGATTCCCCAGGACTCACATGGTGGAAGAAGAGAACCAACTTGTACAAGTTGTCCTCTGACCTCTGCATGCCACGGCATACACCCCCTCACACACATATCATACACAGTAATAAATAAAAAATGCTTACAAATTATCACGCCAACGGATGACAGGAGACTCACCTCTGTCATTTGTACATACACTCACACACAGAGACCATGCTTCCACAGACAGGCGGATATGTAGCAGATTTCTCTAATAAACACAGGTTTAAAAAGCAAAGTTTTCTCTCTGTGTGAGGGTGTATAGTGGGGTCACGGGGGAGAGGAAGCACTCCATGCCGAAAGACCCTTCGTCAGTCTCTCAGAGGAAATAGAGTTAAAGTCCAGAGCCAGGTTGGAGGGGACAATTGGAGTGGGCGGGGTGAGCACAGTAACAGATTCTTCCGTGCATGGGAGCTGGGGGCACTGAGGAGCCCTGTGACTACATTCCAGGTATTTTTAGTGTGCAGTTTTAAATAGTAACCATTCCTTTAGCTAATCATAACTTACAAATTGAAAGCACCACTTCTAAGTTCACACCTCACATAAAAATTCTCAAAACTGTGATTTTAAACCAAACCACTTGCTTAAGTCCACATTTCCTTTTTAGCTTCTAGACCTGCACAGCCATAAACCTAACTTCAACGTTACATGGAGCTGAGGGAAGCTGAGCCTGACTAACTGTGGTAAATGTCGCTCTGAAGGGCTGGCTGGCAAGATGGCTCAGTGGGTCAGGGAGTTAGTTGGCCTCCAGGCCTGATGATATGAGTTTGGTACCCAGCACCCACACTGGGGAAGGAGAGAACTGATTCCCACAGGCTGACCTCTGACCTCCGCATGTGCACCATGGCTGCACCAACCTCCTGCCACCACCACCAAACAAACAAACAAAATTTTAAAGATTTGTTCTGTGGTCCGGGCTGGCCTTGAATCTGTGGTGACCCTCCTGCCTTGGCCTCCTGAGTGCTGGGATTATAGGCCTGGGCCATCATGCCCAGCGAGAAAAGGTACTCTTCTTCCTGGAATTCCATACGTAGCCGGGCTGGCCTCAAACTCACAGAGATCTGCCTGCTTTTGCCTCAAGATTGCTGGACCTAAAGCTGTGTGCCACCGAATGCAACCACAGGCATGAAAATCACCGTTTACCATCAATTCCTAAACAAGATCAAAGACCTGTCATGGGTGACATTCTGTTAAGACCCTATACAGCCCTGGCTGTCCTGGAACACTTTATGTAGACCAAGCTGGCCTCAAACCCACAGAGATCTACCTGCCTTTGCCCCTCTGAGTGCTGGGATTAAAAGCGTGCACCACCACGCTCCCTGACTCCCAACTTTTTGCAAAAGCCTGAGTGAAAGTGAGTGTGGCGTGTGGCGTATTCTCATCCGAGCACCCATACACACACGTGCAGGGGCCAGCCGCCAGCAAGGCTCCTCCTGTTCTCCCTCTCTCTGCATTGTTTCCTGAGACAGAACCTGGAGCCAGGCTGGCAGCCCGGAAGCTCCAGCGACCATCTAGTCTCCACTCCTTGCAGCTTTGGAACTACAGGAATAAATGGTCATGCCCAGCTATTTCTGTGGTGGCTAGGGATTTGAACTCACACCCTCATGCTTGACCAACATGCATTCTTACCCACTGAGGCACCTCCAAAGCCCCAAGTCCAAGGTTCTTTTCTCTATCAACCCTTCCCAACCCCTTACCCTGGGGACAGGCTTTCTGGCCTTGTATTTTTTTTTTTTTTTAAACAAAAACAAGCCTGCAGGGAAGCCCTCAAAACATCGCCCTCAAATTTATGGGATCTGCTGAGGAACCCAGTGTGCATCCTATACGGGTACACTAATAAGAAGGAAAGAGGAAAACAGAGTTTATGAGGCTGCTGGCTAAGATCTGGCCAACCCTACGGGCCAGGGGGACTTTGAAAGCAGACCTTTGGGCCCCTTTCCAGGTACTCTGAACCAGGATGCGCAGGGTGGAGTCCAGGAATGTTTGGGGCTGTTCTTTCCTTATTTTTCTGAACCACAAGATATCTGGATCACGGTGGCAGGAGAAAGGTCTTTCTCAACAAATGAAAGGCACCGCATAGAAGGAGCCTAGCCAGAGGCACTGGCTGTAATCCCAGCTACTTAGGAGGCCCAGGCAGGTGGATCCTAAATTCAAGGCCTGCCCGGACTATGGAATCAGTTCATAGCCAGCCAGGGCTTTTATGTCTCAAATAAAAAATATAAAATGAACTGGGGAGCCGGGCGTGGTGGCACACACCTTTAATCCCGGCACTCGGGAGGCAGAGCCAGGTGGATCTCTGTGAGTTCAAGGCCAGCCTGGTCTACAGAGCGAGCTCCAGGACAGCCAGGACTACACAGAGAAACCCTGTCTCAAAAAACCAAAATAAAATAAAGTAAAATGAACCGAGATGTAGCTCAGTGGTAGAGACTGCAGGGGGCGGGGCGGGAAGGTTTGCGTTATCAGACAGTAAACAACAGGAGCAAGATGCTCACCCTCAATCCACACACTTTTAAAGGGGCACCCGAGAACAGAGACGGACGATTTGGAGGCGATCAGAATGATTTTCCCACGTGAAGGGAAGTAAGGCCACAGCCCTGAGTCAGTTCAGACAGAAGCAGACTGAACAGGGAAGATCCACGCAGGGACAGGGGACCTGCCCTGATAATATCCATGTTGCCCCTTCCCATCTGTGAACTCTGAGGACATAGGCAGTGTGGGCTAGCCTGTGGTCTCCACTCCTCAGGTCTCAAGCTGCAGGCATGAGGAAGTCCTCATAAACCTAGGGATTCCACAGGAACATGGCCGCTTCTCCTGACAAAGACAGCCCACAGCCCAAAATGCCAAGGAGTTCCAGGACAGACAATAGCTCAGAACCCCTTCCTCAGCTGTGTCCAGCCTCCAGCCTCCAGACTGAGCATACAGCAAGCAATATCCCAAGGGACAGTCACTTCCAGGGCTATCGGCATGTGATGAGTGAGCTGGGAGTCAGCCAGAAGACTTTCATCTCCTTCGGTCCCTGTGACAGGCAATCTTCATGGTCAACATGAGCTGAGGTAGAGTCACCGTGGAAGTCCACCTCTGGGCGTGTCTGGGAGGGCGTTTCCAGAGGTTTGACGGAGGAAGGAAGATGCCCGAATGTGGGCAGCACCACCCCCTGGGCTGGGGTCCCTCCCGGTCTGAATGAAGTGACCCGAGCACCAGCATTCACCTCTTCGCTTCCTGACTGCAGTCACACTGTATCCAGCTGCTTCAAGCTCGGCCACCATGATGGACTGTGTCCCCCTAAACTGTGAGTCCAAACCCTTCCTTCCTATTGGTCACAGCGAAGAGGAAACTGAACAACTTCAGAAGGCAGAACTTCTCACTATTCACCTTTTACAGTTGAAAAAGACAAATTCCAGAGAACAACGAGCCCCAAATCGCACTTCTGTGAAGCAAGGACAGGACTCCCTCCCTGGCTCCAGGGACCGAGAAGATGAGCTCAGCCCCTTCATCAAACTCTCCAGGTCAAGGAGACCCAATGGGAAAAGATTTGTCAGACACCGTTAGAGAAGAGGAGGAGAAAAGAGAAGGGAGATGAGAAAGAGGAAGACCCAACCTGGAGGAGAATGAAACACACACCAGAAAAACAAGCAACTCACCAACCCACCCTGCCCCCTGGGGAGTATCTCACACCAGCAGCAAACTTAAAACACAACCCTGGCATAGCAATAGTGCTGCGCAGGACAATAAGACTCAGGAAATGAACTTTGGGTGAATGAATAAACATGCCAGGCTTTATCAAATTCCACAAGAAAGGAGCAAGATCACCACAGTGCCAAAACAGGACCATAACCAGAGAGCATGCCCAGCATCCGGGCAGGGAGCTTGGGCGCATGGTCACACTGCATGGACTGAGTCAGAAAAAGCCAAGTTTCCCACACGGACCATGTTCTGCCTGGGCCCCGACTTTCCACCAAGGCCATGCGGGCATCAACCCAGGGTTAGAGGGAAAAGGCACGGCCAGCGGAGAGCCGGCAGAGAGCCGGTGGAGAGCCGGGCAGGCAAGGCTTTTAGGCATTTGCCAGAAGAACTTTGGAGATTTAATCAGAAGGAAATGGGGATTTGCTGAGGAACTAGGGTGGCCGCTCCACAGAAAGGCGGCAGACAGTGGGACAGCAAGCCACCCCAACTGGTAACGACCCAGGCAAGAAACACCAGTGACTCAGACGCAGCACGGCGCCAGGAGAAGCTGATCCTGGGTCGGTATGGGGAGTAGAGTGGATGGTGTGTCTTGATGGCTTGCTGAGGAGGGTGAGAGAGGAAGCACAAAAAGGACTCTGTGGCTTCTGCCCTCGGCCAGGGAGGGCCGTGCACTCACAAGAGAGGTGGAAACTGAGTCGGTGGTTTCAGACGTGTGGATGCAGACATTGTTTAGAAATCTCAGTGAGCTTTGGTAAGCTGCTCCGGAGTCTGGAAAGGAAAAGAGCTTGGAGAGACACAGCTGGGGGTGAGTGATGGCTACACCCGTGGGTGCTGAAGCCAGATCCAGCCGGGGTCAAGGAGAGAGCATGGGCTGAGGGAAAGAAACAGGAAGTGGACGCTGCTCGCAGCAGCGCTAGAGCAAGGATAAAATCAGTGATGTGGGAGGAACCCAAGAGACGGTCATTTGGTCTCCAGGGGAGGAAGACGCTTTCAAGGAGGACAAAGGACCACTTCCATGCCCATCAAAAGCTGCAGACAGACCTCCACAGCACAAGGTTACAGGGACTGAGGCACCAGGAAGAAACCAAAGAGGATCGAAGACACGAAACTAAGTAAGTCCCCGAGGGAAGACCCATGACTAGGCTGTGGGGTAGTACATTTCCTCTTTCCCTTCCTTCCTTCTCCCCTCCCTCCCTCCCTCCCTCTCTGGAGACATGGAGTCAGTTCTCTCCTTCCACTGGACTCAAACTCACAGAGATCCACCTGCCTCTGCCTCTCAAGTGCTTAGCCAGGCAGTGTAACCCGTTTTCACATGAGTGACAACGTATCAGGACTGACCCATGTGAAGCAGCCATTTGCTAGTGAGTCCCAGACTCTTTGTAGGGTTCTAGAAACTGACCTGGATCCAGCTAGTAGGAAACATACTTTCTTGGTTTCTGCATTCCAGGTACTCAACGTAAACAAAATGTGTCATGCTAAGAGCTTCCCACAGCTAGTGCTGAGATGCTTATTTAAGCAAAAATGAGAACCCTGTGGCATCCTAGATTATAACAGCTGAGGATGACCTTGAACTCCCGATCCTCCCGCCCCCACCAAGTGCTGGGGTATACAACCACACTCAGTTTGCACAGTGCTGGGGATAGAACCCAGAGCTCCAGCTGCACGAGGCAAGCCCTCTACCAACGAAGCCACGGCCCCAGCCCTTTACCAACAATTTAAAAATGGTTTCTATCCCCAACAAATTCCCCAGGTAATTTGAAAGGTTCAGGACAGCACACAGCTCCCTGGCAGGAGTGGGGATAGTCCAGAGACACTTGTGCTAATTCCTTTCTAACAGTGGCCTCCAAGGAACCAAGATTTCCCAAGGAACTTCATTCTGGAGCAAGAGAAAAGCTAAAGGTAGGCTGGTCTGGGCCAGCAAGAAGGTTCAGTGGGTAAAGGCGCTTGCTGCATAAGCCTGGTGACCTGAGTTTGAACCCTGGAACATGCAGAAGGGTAGAAGGAGAGAACTGACTCCATAGTCTTGTCTCTGACCTCTACATTTGTGCTGTGGCATGCACACCCCTGCACCCCTACACATATATTCTCTCTCTCTCTCTCTCTCTCTCTCTCTCTCCTATACACACACACACACTCTCTCTCTCTCCTACACACACACACTCCTACACACACACACACATACACTCCTACACTCCTACACACACACACACACACACACACACACACACACACACGCGCGCGCGCGCGCGCGCGCGCACTTAAGACTAGTATTGGGATGTCACCCACTAGAGCTAGGACATTGACATCAACAAACCAGTGATGGGCCAGGACTGCGTAACCCTGCGTACCTCTTGCTTTTTATTTAAACGGCATTAGGACCCACAGACGGACTTGGGGGTCACTGGACCTCTTCGTTCCTCTTCCCAGTGTGGCCACATTGAGTAAATATCCTTTCTCTGCTTTTCACTCTGACTTGCCTCTTTAATGAGTGTGCTGGGGACAAGTGGCTGGGACTAGCTTGTGGGAGCTGCCAGGGTCCAGGTTTCAACCCTAAAAACTCCTGTAACAGTTCTTTTCAAATTCTGCCCCCTGCGACCCCTCACACACTCTGAAGAGTGAAACCATGCAAACATTAACTAGTTTAAGCACACTGAAGCCAGCAGAGGTACACTCTGATCACAGTCCCAGCCCTACAGTAAAGGAAGAAAACGCTTCAGACACGCACCAGTGGCCTGTGCTGGCCGGAGAGAGGGCTCGGCGCGCAAAGGCACTTGGTGCCAAGTCTGATGACCTGAGTTCAATCCCAGAAACCCACATGGTGGAGAGAACAACCCCCAAAGTTGTCCCCTGACCTCACGGGATGCTGGCAGTGGCATGTCCACCTCCCCCATACACACACAATAAATAAATAATGTAATTACAATTTAAAAGCAAAAAAAGGGTCCAGCATGAGTGCAAACAGGCAGCTGCTGAGTGACCACAGAGACGCCCTGGAAACCCACACAGCAGGACAGTAAAGAGCAAAGAAAATATAAGCGAAAGACCACAGCTCAGGCGAACCTCACAACCGATGCAGAGCAAAGGAAGGCAGATTTGTTTTTTAGTTCCCAAGTAGTCCTGGCTGGCCTCGAACTCAGAGATTCTGCCTGCCTCTGCCTCCTGAATGCTGAGATTAAAGGTGTGCGTGCCACCGCCGCCGCCGGCAGAAGTCAGATTTTTAAAGGACCAGAGCCAGTGCTCACACCCATGTGAAATTCACCGCAGGCTCTTCTGAACCATGCCACTCAGAAGGAGCATGGCTTCTGGGAAGGGAGGGCTAGTCGAGAGCCTTACGTGTGGGATTCCTGTGCTTTTCCAAACACGTGTGTATTTCTTTGTTCAAGGCCAGCCTCTACCATACAGTGAATTCAAGGCTAGCTTGGGCTACATGAGACTTTGTCTCAAACAGAAGAACTGAACAAACTAAAGGAATGACGTATTACTTTATGAGAAAAGACTACACACAGAGAGACACTGTGAAATGAGAATAGAAATCACGCTTGCATTCGGCTGGCAAGATGGCATGGGGGGTGGGGGGGTGGTAAAGGGCTCACCGCCAAGCCTGATGATGTGAGTTCAATCCCCAGGACCCACACCACGAAAGGAGGGAAAACCAGCTCCTTGGGTGTGCTCTGACCTCCACAGAAGCACATGGCACACACATTCCCCTGCCCTACAAATAAATAAGTGTAATAAAAAATTTTTAATAAAAAAGAGAAGTGAGCCTTTCTTTCTCATGTTCACAGGGCCACCTTACCTGAGCTGCTTGGCATAGCTGAGCTCAATCTCAGTTCTCTCCTTCACAAACTTGATGTACTTTTCAAGAATATCGATTCCCCACTGGGTGTGTTTTTCTAAGTTGTCAAACTGATCCTGTTTGGAAAAAGAGAGAGAAGGGAGTTTATTGTCTCTTTCTGTAGCTACCAGTTCCAGGGAGCAGTCCTCTCCATCATTCGCTGATCCAGGAAAGCGGCTCTAACATTTTCCATGATGACACTCGGGGGCTTTTCTGTTGAGAGCTTTACATCAACATTACCAAATTTGGTTTGAGCATGGTCCGGAGTTAGGATCTGTGATCCATTCTGTTCTCTCTTCCTTTTAGACGAATGACTCCTATACATAATTAATGTTCCATTACAAAGGAAAATGTCTCGGATGCCAAAAGCTGACAGGTCACACACACACACACACACACACACACACACACACACACACACACACACACACACACACACACACACACACACACATGAGTTCCCTAGGGCAGAAGAGATGGCTGAGTAGTTAAAAGCACTTGCTGCTCTTGCGGAGGGCCAGAGTTTGGTTCCCAGTACCCATGTCAGGCAGCCCACAGGCAAAACTCAAGCTCCTGGAAATCAGAAACCCTTTCTAGACTCCTGAAACACCTTCACGTACATGTGCATACACAATAAATAAAAATAATTTCTTACATTTGTTTTATGGATATGGGTGCTTTGCCTGTGTGTATACAAGCGCATCATCTGTGTGCCTGGTACCCATGCAAACCAGAAGTCTCAGATCCCTGGATCTGGAGTTACAGGTAGTTAGGAGCTGCCATATAGGTGCTGGGAATCAAACCCAGGTCCTCTGGAAGAGCAGCCAGTGCTTTTTAACTGCTGAGCCATCTCTCCAGCTTTCCCTTCTCCTTTTCTGTTGAGACAGGGTCTCATCCTATAACCATTACTGGCCTGGAACTCACAGAGATCCACCTGCTTCTGCCTCAGGAGTGCTGGGATTAAAGGTGTACACCATCACACTCAGCATCTTTTTTTTTTTTTTTTTAAGAAAGAACTGTAGTTTAAATTTGGAGAGAGGAAGTGGTAGGGGAAGGGTTATGAAATTCAGCATTTTTCAAATGAGTAAAACAGCTCAATGTGGACTTTGCTACACTATGTGTCACAGACAGGGGTTGGATCCAGGGAAGCAAAACTGAGCAGGGTAAACTGCACCTCGCAGTGTTTCTTGTAGTTCACCTTGGGTGTTTCTGCTTTGGAGAGCAAGACAGGCAGATGTGCCGGCCTGCTGATGCACAGCTGTAGAGAGGGTCGGGACTCTCCTGAGCACAGGTGAGGGTGGGAGGGCCCCAGGGAATGGACAAGCGTGACGACATTGGAGGCAGTGGAGGCCTGCCGTGCACAGTGACGGAGCTCAGACTCTCCAGAAGGCTCAAACTGCTCTTGCACTGTGACCACAGATCTGCGTGGAATCATGTGAGGCAGAGGCCAGGAAACTGTCCTAACGGTCTGAGATGAGAGCAGGAGGGAGCCATTTTGGAGACACTTGGCAAATGCTACTGTAAGCGACATGTTGGCTGCAGACTCTAAGCAAGGGGGAAGGGCTGCAGGGTGACTCGGGCTCAGCTTCCTGAGTGCAAATAAATCATTCACACAGGGAGGAAGACGCTATCCATGCGAATAGAGGGGTTGGTGTGCACAACAGAGCCTGGAAGCACAGATGGACCGAGCTCACAGGATGATGCCGGGGAGTGCATGGGTCTGAAAGCCAGCACAGAGCGGAGTGCCAGTGGGTGGACAGCACACACAAGAACAGCAAGGAGGACTGGCCCAGGAAGTGGAGCCCGAGAGCAGTGGAAGCCAGCCAGAGAATGCATTAGAGCCACCGGGGGTGAGTGATGAGCCAGGTCAGCTGGGAAGCATGCTGCTGCCTCAGAGGGAACCTCAGAGAGGATGAGGCTCTGGCCAGCCACAGGACTTCACTGACCCAGGCCACCAACTGTCTCAATGGCTCTGCTGTGGTCCCTAGTGTGCCCAGAATCCCTGCCTAGTTTCACCAAGACATGCAAAGTGGGGAGGGTCAAGTCAATACACGAATGACACACACCCGTCAGCCGTTCTTCCGGCCCTGTCCCTGGGATCCGGTTGGCACTGGCACAGCGCTGGGGCTGCAGCTCAGTTGGTGGTGTGCTCGCCTGGCGCACATGCAGCCCTGGGCTCCTCAAGAACTGAGTGTGACGGCACACGCCTGTAATCCCAGCACTCGGAAGGTGGAGGCAGGAGGATCAGACGCTCAAGGTCATCCTCGGCTGCATGGCAAATTTGAAAACGGCCTGGTCTACATAAGACCCCATCTCACAAAAGTGGGGAGGGTGAGCTGGAGACGGCTCAGGGGTTGAGATCACCTCCTGCTCTTGCAGAGGACACAGCTCTATTATCAGCATCCACTTTGCCCAGTGTAACTCCAGGGCATCTCAGGCTTCTTCTGACCTCCTCAGGCACTGGACTTAGGTGCCCAAACCTCATGAACACACACATACAAATAATAATAAAAAAAATAAAATCTTGGCCAGGTGGTTGCCTTCAATCCCAACACTCGGGAGGCAGAGGCAGTAGATCTCAGTGAGTTCAAGGTCTACAAATCGAGTTCCAGGACAGCCAGGGCTACACAGAGGAACCCAATCTCAAAAAAAAATCTTAAAAAAAATTCTTCTCTCGGCCGGGCGGTGGTGGCGCACGCCTTTAATCCCAGCACTCAGGAGGCAGAGCCAGGTGGATCTCTGTGAGTTCGAGGCCAGCCTGGGCTACCAAGCGAGTCCCAGGAAAGGCGCAAAGCTACACAGAGAAACCCTGTCTCGAAAAATGAAAAAAAAAAAAATTCTTCTCTCATATATTACATCCTGACCCATGTTCCCTCCCCACCCCTCTCCCCAACCTCTCCCCTCACCTTCCCTCTCTCTCCCCCAGATCCACTCCTCCTCCATTTCCCTTCAGAAAAGGGCAGGCCTCCCAGGGATATCAACCATACGTGGCATATCAAGTTGCAATAAGACCAGGCACATCCCTTCATATTAAGACTGGATGAGGCAACCCAGTGGGAGGAAAAGGGTCCCAAGAGCAGGCAAAAGAGTCAGAGACCCCCCCACTCCCACTGTTAGGAGTCCCACAAGAACACCAAGCTACTCAGCCATAACTTATATTCAGAGGACCAAGTCAGACCCCTACAGGCTCCCTGATCTCTTCGACCCCCAATGAGTCCTGGTCAACTGATTCTGTGGACCATGTTCTCCTGGTGTCCCAGACTCCATAGATCTTTTTAAAGAGGCTGTACATCTTTAGTCAGACACGGTGATATGATGTATACATTTATAGTCCCACCTCTCAGGAAGCTGATACAGGATTACACAAGCCCAGGAGTTCAAGACCAGACTAAGCAACACAGTGAGACTCTGTCGGCAACAACAAAAGCTATACACACTTAGCATATATAACCTGAAGAGTACCCAGGAGACCAACCATTGCCACAGTCTACCTAACCAACACATATCTACCCCTTCTAAAAGCTTTTTCTTGTCTTTTGACTCCTTGTGTGTGATCCAAGTTCTTCGAACACAACGCGGTATTGTTGAGTGATGCTGAGCCCAGTGCTGTGCTTTCCACTGGCTTCGGCACCAACCTTGAGTCCGTCGGTCACGTGACCTACTTTCCTTCCCGTTCCTGTGATAAAACACCCTGACCAGAGGCAACGGAGAGGAGAAAGTGTAGACTCAGCTTACACTCCAGGTCACAACCCGTCACTGAGGGAAGTCACAGCAGGAACTGAAGCAAGAATTTGAAGCAGAAACCATGGAGGAATGCTGCTTGCTAGCTTCCTCACAGACTCATGCTTACCAAGGTAAGCATGGTTCCAGGACCACCGGCCTAGGGAATGGTGTTACCCACAGTGTGCTGCACTCTCCTAAATCAGTTAACAATCAAGACCACATAATCATGCCCATAAGCCAATGTGGTGTGGACATTCCCTCCATTGAGACTTCCTCCTCAGGTGACACTGTGTCAAGCTGACAGTTAATGCTGTGATTATGGTCTCACAGTCACCTTATCTAACCTAACTGCTTTAGTCTTGTTCCTAGCCAAGTGCACAGAACAGTATCAACTGAAGACACTGGAGTCTTCTGCCACTAAAATGACCCTCACTGTAAAATGCTTATTCTTATAACCAATCTTTTAAAATGGTATTAAAAAAAGGGGGGGGGGACACAAAGACAACATTCTCCGCTTTTTAATCCTCAATCTATCCCACACCCCTCCCAGATTCCATTTTAAGAAACGTTGCTCAGATTGTTTATTTATGTTATCTCTACAGAGGAGGGTTGTTGAGCCAATGAGCAGGGTAAACAGGACGGCAGGTCTCTGTAAACAACTGGAGAAGGTAAATACACAAGGAACTCAAGCGATGGCAATGAATGAATGCTCCTAGCACTCAGGACTGCTCCAAAGTGCTCTGCTGGTCAGTGACCCTTCCTTGATCTAGTTTCTTTTCAACCAGATTTATTTAAAGATAAAAGCTGGGGTGATGGCTCTGTGGGTAAGAACATGTTTGCCTTGAAAGCACGAATACCCTATCCACAACACCCATGTCAGTCAAAGTGCCCAGCGCCGGGTAGGTGGATGGTGTTTCTGAAGATGACACCTAAGGTTGACCTCCACAAGCATGTGTACACACACACACACACACACACACACACACACACACACACACACCCCTCTAATATATTATTTATATCTATCATCTGTCTATCTTGATAGCTCTATCATCTACTCATCTATCTACCTACCTACCTATCTATTGATATTGATATATATCAAGCGCTGGGGCTGCACAGCTCAGTGGTAGAAAGTGTGAAGTCCAAGGTTCCAGCCTCCACACTGAAGAAAAGAAAACTCCCCCTCCCTTGAATTCTCTCTACAATGCCATCCCCTCTGAAAGCTCTCAAAGGCTCCTGCCCTTGATTCCATTCTGTCCCATTGACAATCTGCCTGATACACCACCTCCGATGCTCTGTAGCAAAGATGGATATCCCCAAACCCCTGCAAACAAAAACAAGAAGCCCCTCC